CATATCTGAAAAAGTTTTTTTATGATTAAAAAATCACTATTGTTAGTAATCTGAAAAACAGAAACTATGAACAAACACAGTCCTAACATCTAGACGCTATTGGGTAGAAGAGCTTACACGGTCATGGAAATCTCCACTATTATTTCCAGTGTTTTGTGAATGTCAGGGCTTTTTTTTTTTTTCCACTCTGAGTAACAGTGGCAGGTGTGTGCAAAATGTGCCACAAGTGTGGGCTTAAAATGAACTCAGTTCAAGCAGCAGCACGGAAGGGCATCTGAGTCATTGGTCTCTAAACGGGAGACACGATGTGCTGCCCCCTAGCGACTGCAACAGCACCTTCGGCGATAAGCCTCTTAGTGGGGAGCTCCGACGTGGTAAGTAGTGAACTAACTCAAAGCTTCATGTCATCTGTTTGTAATTAACATCTGTGACAAGAAGGGTAGAACAAACACCTACTGTCTACATCAAAAGTAAGAAGTTAGTACAAGAATCTAGAGATATGGGGTGGGGGTGGCTCAGCGGCTAAGAGCACCTGCTGCTCTTCCTGAGGACCTGGGTTCAATCCTAGCGGCATCCACAGGTGGCTCAAACCTCTGTAACTCCAGGGGATCTGACATCGTCTTCTGCCCTCTGCGGGTACCAGGCACACTCATGGTCCACAAAGAGACATACATGCTAGTGAGAGGAACATAGGCATTAAAGGCTGACAGTCTTTCCTCAACAGTTTTGAGCAGATGTCGGCATATAAAATTGTATGTATTCAAGGTGCAAAACTACCAACACATCTACACAATAATAATTATTGCCTACACAATAATGGTGGGTGTGTGGGAAAGACACATCCTGTACCTCTGAAATGTACAAAATGTACAAAGCCTAAGGTTTGTTCTAAACCCCATTTTTTAAAAAGAATTGCATTGATTGATTGATTGACTTAGTGTGTATGTTTTAGACTTCCAGGATGATGTTCAGAACTAGGGAGCACAGAAGACAACAGAGCCTGCAATTAGGAAAGATACCAATGTCACCCGAAGCTGAAATTTGGCTTCCAAGGCTCTTTTTTTAATTTGCAAACTATTTTTGGCAAAGGTTAAAATCTTTATCTAACAATCTTATGGTGGTTTTTTTTTGTTGTTTGTTTGTTTGTTTTTTTGTTTTAAAGCCTCAAATTTTTAGAATGTTGGAAGTGAAGAGAATTTAGGGAAGGGAAACAGTAATTTAATTAAGGTAGCGTTCTTGTCCAGTCAGTTTGGTGTTTGGCACACGTGGAGGTCACGGGACAGGTTGTAGGCATGGATTCTCTCATCCTGCAGTGTGGGTCCTGGAGACTGAATTTGGGGTGTCAGGTTTGGTAGCAGGAAGTCATGTGGTTGGCTAACCTTTGGAATTCTCTGTGACATGCTGATGTGGTGATGAACACATGAAACCCAGCCATCCAGAAGCAGAGCCATGGAGTTCTGTGTGTTCAAGTAGGTCCTGGTCTAAGTAGGACCGGCTTCAGGCCAGTCAGGGCTACACAGTGAGACTATGTTTCAAAACAACAAAATATAATAAGGATTTTTGGTGCCCTAAAGAAAGCTGAAAGCTTTGTGCCTCCACTATCTCTGTCCATTTTAAACCATCCACTAAAGTTTCAGGGCAGAGCTGACGATTATCCGAAGCTTACCAAGGTGCAGAGTGATACGTATCGAGAACAAGTCTAAATCTGTAATTACTTCTGCAGTTCAGAAGAATCCAGAGCTGACAGTTTAGTGAGAAAAACAAACATGACATCTAAACTCCAGAAACAAAGGCAGGCAGGCTTATAGGGAGTGAATCCAGAATGTAGAAATTCTAACCCTGGCTCAGCACTAGCAATGTTTCAAAAGTTGATGAAATAATCTCCAGTGTCTATCACTGGGATAGTCAGAACTTGTAGCTCAAGCTGATGTGTGGAGTGTCTTCTCCTTCCAACAGTGGTGTGGGCCTGCAGCTATTCAAAAGGCTTAGGCAGGGTAACAGCTCGAGCCCAAGAATTTAAGACTATCCTGGGTGATGCAGTGAGATCTTGTCCCCATAAAAACAAGTGCCAGAAATTTTAAAGATTTACTTAAAACTGTCATATATAGGATCAGGCAAGTGGACCAAAATATGGTAACTCCTGGCCTAAGTGAAACCCTACCTCAAAATAAACAAACAAATAAACAAAATACAAGCAAAACAAAATCTAAAAAGGATGTGGCTTGGTGGTTATCGATGGCCTCGTGTGCATAATGCAAACCACTGAGGAGACAGAGGCCGGAGGACCAGAGGTTCAAGGTCATCCTCAGCTATGTAGCCTGGGACACATTAGAACCAGTCTTAAAAAAACATAAAAAAATAAAAATATCCAACCCCTCCGCTTCTTCCCCCCAAAATGCTAGGCTAAGACTCTAAAGGCAAAATGGTGATTGTTCTGAGAGCCCCTAAGTTCCAAAGCACCACACAGTCGCTGTCACCCTGTCCTAGAATGTCATGGCTAGCCTTGAAGTTTATATAAAATACGCACGTATGTGTCCCTTTTGCAGAGGAGGACCCTGAGTCTTGGGCAAGTGCTAATAAATGATAGTGGTGGGTGTGGATCCGCGTGTGGGAGGGTGCCCGGTGGACTTTCGGCTATTACACAGACGGGGACTAAAGGCAACACATCCGAGCAGCTCTGAAAGCCCACAGTTCTGGCACAGTCTACCGCAGGTAGGCAGGCCATTTTCCCTCTTTTGTGCCAGGGTTAAACCACGACAGGTCGTCTTGGTACAAGCCATGAGTCGCCGATACCCGTCATCTCAGCACACTGGCTGTTTGAGGTCCACAGAGTGTCAGAACACCAAGGGTTATATGGGGAAACCCTGTCTCAAAACTCAAAGCGGGGGCTGGAGAGATGGCTCAAAGGTTGGGAGCACTGGCTGTTCTTCCAGAGGGCTCAGGATCCATTCCCAACACCTACATGGTACCTTACAACTCTCTGTGGCTCCATCCTGGGAATCCGACACCCTCTTCTGGCCTCTTAGGGCACCTGGCACACATGTGGTGCACAGACATACATGTGGGCAAAATTCCCCACATACACATAAAAGAAAGACATGAGACAGGAGGGCAGATAAAAAAAATTATTTCCAGAAAACACGTGAATTATGCCCTGGAGTCTTGAGGACCTGACAGAGAAGGACACTCGAGTTAGCCAGATTACCACACACACGGAAGCAGAAAATCTTTGCTAAGATACCAGGGGGTGTGGAAGACGGCTCAGTGAATGACGTGCTTGCATGAGAACGTGAAGACGTGGGTTTGTAGCCGCACATGAAAGCCACATGTGTGTCAATAACCCTAGCACAAGGGGCGAGGAGGGGACAGACCCCTAGAGCTCACTGGCAAATCTGCATAGCCAACTGGTGAGTGCCAGGTGTGCCAGAGACTTTGTCTCAAAATATCCCGGGGAAAGTGATGGGGGTGCTGACTTCCCGCCCACAGGCACCTAAGTCACCTGCAGATCGCAAGTGTGCACAAGCCCCGTGTTACGTCTCCAGCATGGAAAAGAAAGGACGATGCCCATAAAATGCCATCACCCGCAGAACTAAGTCCTCTTGCTTCTGCAGGACATGGTTTCCAGGCCTCCCTGCTCCCAGCTTGAGCTGTGGTGCATTTCTGCAGGCAGGCTGCCCACCAAGAGTTAATAGGCGCCAGTCTTCCTACTCCAGCAGGCCGCTCAGTCTGGGAGAGGTCAGGCAACACCTCACTGATTAAGAACACAAACTCTTTCGCTTTGCTCCCTCCTTTTCTCACCTGGAAATAAGGGGGATTCCACACTGAGTTTCATTAGGACCCTTCTGGTTCAGGTCTTTATGAGACAGGGTCTTATCACTGTGCATCCCAGGTGCCTTGCTGGAGATGGCACTGGTCAGCTGGCCCTGATGCCACTCTCCTACCTTAGCCTCCAGGGTGCTGGGTACTTGTTAAGAATGATAACACAGTTTTCACTGACAATGGTGCTTGCCTCAGAGAAGAAAGTGTGCTCCACATAAAGTGTTCAGCAAAGATCCAGGCACAAGGAAACTAGCACACAAGGTGATTATCATATCTCAACAATCCTCCTGCCTCAGTGTACCAAAGTAGTCAGGACTATAGGGAAGATGCAATCAGATCTTGACCTAAATTACTTTTCCTTTTTTCCAGCACTTGAGAACAGAAGCAGGCTGATCTCTGTGAATCCCAGCCCAGCCTGGTCTACATAGTGAGTTCCAGGACAGCCAGGGCTATGTAGAGACCCTGTCCCTACCCCCCCCCCAGACCATAAACAACAACAACAACAAAACCAAACCAAACAAAATGCATAACATAATTTTGTGTTATTTCAAGTCAGAGGAAGGTGTTGGGTCCCCATGACGGGGGTTGTGCACTGCCATGTGGGTGCTAGGAATGAACCCTGAGTTCCCTGCAAGAACAACAAGTACTCTCAACCACTAGACCATCTCTGCAGCCCCAGCCCCCTCGTTCGCTTATTTCAATCTCTTTTTAAAAAAGAGATATTTATTTATCATGTATACAGTGCATGCCAGAGGAGGGCACCAGATCCCATTACAGATGGTTGTGAGCCACCATCTGGTCGCTGGGAATTGAACTCAGGACCTGTGGAAGAATAGTCAGTGCTCTTAACCCCCCGGAGCCATCTCTCCAGCCACTTATTTCAATCCTAACAGGAATTTATAGAAAGAAACAAGGTTAAGTCTGTCCTTTCCTCAAACCTCATTCACGAAATCTTCTCAGGCCTTTCCTCTCAGTGCTCTGGGGGCTGAGACAGGCTCCTCCGAGCTCCGGCCAGCCTGGTTTGTGAGCCCTGGCCAGCTAGGGTTGCAGCAGACACTTTTTCTCCTTGGGCATTTCATAAAGCATTTCTAACTTAATACATACGACACTTCAGCAAATGGCTTCAACATAGGAAAGAAAAAACCACAGGTTTCAGAAAAGCACAGAAACATTAACCTTACCTGTATCGTTTGCAAGGGAGTTAGGGTCAGATCCCCCAAGGGTAGCTTCAAACTCTTCCTGGAGACGATACGCCCTTTGTAGCAGAGCCTCCAGTTTGTGGATGAATTCCGTACTGATTATATCCTACAAAGACAGAAGAGTAACAGTAACACCCTGCAACGCTTACATTCAGTGTTAACACTCTAAACACAGAAATGTGACTTCTCAAGAGGAATTTGCTGTGTAGACAGAGTGGGTGCTGGAATCACGGGTGCTGGTGGCCATACCTAGTCATAAAATTTCAACCAGTCCTATTGCTTTTATAATAGAGACGAAGGACCTGGGTCCTGTCTGGTCATTGAAGTAGACTAAGAATTCTCACACTTGAGCACATACAAGAATTGCCTAGAGGATTTGCTAAGTTAGATTTAGGGCCCTTTGTTCTGGGCTTCTCACTCTGCAAGCCGCTCCAATTTTGAAATGGTCAATAAAGACCCCGTTTTTCCTCTGGATCACACAAACAGAAATTAATTGCATCTTCTACTTCTACACATCGTAGGAAAGTAAGAAAACTTGGAGGTTTGGAGCTGGAGAGTTGGCTCAGAAGTTAAGAGCACTTGGTGCTTTTGCAGAGGATCTGGTTTTGACTCCCGGCACCTGCATGGCAGCTCACAGCTGTTTGCAACTCTAGTCCCAGAAGACCCAACACCCTCTTCTGACCTCTGCAGACAGCTGGCACACACGTGGCACACATCCATACACGCAGGGAAAACACTGATCGTATAAAATTAAAAAAAAAAAAGTGCTTTAAAGCTTGGATAGAAAATGCCAGCAAGAAGCCCCTCCGGCTGGACACCATCCCAGCACTGGGGAAGCAAAGGCAGACAAGCTCTGAGTGTTTCAGACCAGCTTGGTCTACTAAGAGTCCTAAGCCTGCAGGGGCTCCACAGTGAGACCCTCTCTCAAATCAAAACCAAACCCACAAGTCTCTCACGGAGTCCCAAGCTGGGAAAGCAAACAATTTTCATTAACTGCCTGGAAAGAGGCTCTCCCCATAATCGGAAACAAACTGCCCTTACGTCCACGCTTTCTTCAGCAATGGCGTCTCCAGCTCCCAGCTTAACGGAGCTGCAGGCTTCCTCTTCAGCCTGTCTACTGCGAAATGTCAGAGCTTGCTCCCATCGACGCAACGCCTCTTCAAACAATTCCATCCCTAAAAATTAAGAGCGGACTGTAAATGAGCAAAACCACGTTTCCTTAACACATAAATAACAAAATAACAAAAACAGACAGTGGAAGGAAAACCACACACAGGGAGCCATTATTGCAGTGACAAATATGACCATGTGGTTTGAAGGCTTGTAGGAGGAATGTGCTTATGGCTACCGGCTAAAGATGCCCTGAAATGCTGTAAGCAGAGCTTAGTGTGCCAGTGTGGAGGAAGTGTGTAAGACCAGAATGCAGAAAAAAATGTAGTCAATGGAAGCAGGCTCATGCAGGTTCAGAAAGGAACAAGGACTCTGTTGGGAACTGTGCGAAGGGCTGCTGAGTTTACATTCTGACAAAAGAATCCAGTCGCCCTTGGGCCATATCATGAGAACTTTTGTGAGATTGAATTAATGTGTAATGAACTAGTGTGCTGTAGTGGACCACGCCTTTAAGCCCAGCACTCGGGAGGCAGAGGCAGGTGGATCTGAGTTCGAGGCCAGCCTGGTCTACCGAGTGAGTTCCAGGACAGCCAGAGGTATATGTTGAGAAACGGGTGATTTGAGCAGTGGCTCCATGACCTGGGTTTAATTCCTCTCTCCAGAAGTAGCTATGGTAAGAACAGGGAGATGATGTAGCCTGGCTGTGTCCAAGAGTGGGAAAATACTCAGAAGCAGACAGCCTCCTGCCCAGTCAGCCCCTTCCCTGCCCAAAGGCCAGGCCGCAGGAGGACTGTGGGTGTGTTTTCTATCCAGCATGAACTTCTACTGCAGGGAATGTAGCTTGACATAAGGAGAGGAGCATCACCCAGTTCCCAGCAGGTCCCCACCCAACAGCCAGCCCCCAAGTCAGTCATGCTTGTGAAGTCAAGAGGAATACTCAGGTATTAAATATGGGTTTTCTTCCTACTTAATGGTTTTTCTGGATATAGAACACAAATGATATCTAGACAGAAGAGGCTAAGTAAATCAGATTCTGATAACCTCACTGGCCAAGGTCAACAGATTAGAGCAGGTTGGCACATCAGGCTGAATAAAGGCACCCCAAAACATCAGGTCTTCGTGTCTGGAACCTGGGTTCTCTCATGAGGAAGGGTCTTTGGAGATGTGGCTAAGATCAGGGTGCCCCCAAGAGGCTGCTTTAAAATACCTGGTAAGTCAAATTACAAGCGTAACGGAGAGGTCTGGGTAGACGGGACACAAGGATATGGGAGAGTGACACAAGAACAATGTAGAGAGTGATGTTGCCACAAGCCCAAGGAATTCTGGGAGCCACGAGACGCTGGACGAGGAAAGAACTGCACTCTCTCAGAGGTCTAAGATTTTGGACTCCTGGCTCTAGAACTCTGAGTGAACTAATTGCTGTTTGTTGTTTATTTTTTAAATTTTTTTAGATTTATTTTTATGTGCGTTGGTGTTTTGCCTGAATGTCTGTCTCTGTGAGGGTGTCGGATCCCCTGGGACAGGACTTACAGGCAGTTGTGAGCTGCCATGTGGATGCTGGGAATTGAACCCGGGTCCTCTGGAAGAGCAGCCAGTGCTCTTAACTGCTGCGCCACCTCTCCAGCCCCCTAATTGCTGTTTTTTTTTTGTTTTGTTTTGTTTTGTTTTTTAAGTCTCTGTGTTTATGGCAATTTATTATCACTCTCAAGAACCTAGTACAGTTGATTATATTATATAATGTAAAACTCAGCTGACACAGGACATTTTAAAATTACAGTTGATTCTCTTAGAAGAAATTACTGTTTTTGTTTTTGTTTTTACTTTCCCCACAGTGCTGGGGAATCAAACCTAGGACACAAACATGCCAGCCTAGCTCTTTGCCACTGGGTACCAACCTGTTTCCCTTCTATCTTCAAATTAAACCTAACCACAGTATCTTAGGACTCTGAGGTGCCATACCCACCCATCAAGTACAAATTCTCAGGCGTGGTCACAGGAATGTTGACAAGTTTGATGTCGTCCTCATCTGCTTTGTCCCAGGAATTAGAGTTTCCACAAGCACAGCTATGACAGGAGTTAACACTTTGGACCTGTAGTGAAGACCAAGGAAAGCGGATCACCGTCTCACTCGTGCACGCTCGCACAAGTGCCTGCACGCTCGAACACGCACACACGCACGCACAGCCTCCTATACAGCCAACGATGACCTTGAATGTTTCATCCGAACCTTCGGCCTCTACCTTCCGAGTGCTGGGAATGCAGGTGGGTGCCACTGTACCTGGTTTTTATGCAGGGCTAGGGATGGAACCCTGGGCTTCCAGCATGCTAGGCTTACACTATCCTGAGATACATGCCAAACCTGCTGTGGTATTTACCAACTATTTACATATGTTCTGTAATTATAGTCCAGGTAAGTTCTACCTGAAGAGAGAATTCTGACTATATTCAAATTTAGCTTTTCTGCTGTCATCATAAACTTATGATTTCAGCATCCTTCCTTCCCACAGTAAAAATTCCTCCTACAAGTTCATCAATACTTCCATTCCCACAATCTCTCAAATTTTACACAAGGAAGTCATTTTTAACACATCTCTTGCTGCACCTTTATGTTTCTTTTGTTTGTTTGTTCTGTTTTTTTGAGACAGGGTGTCTCTGTGTAGTACTGGATGTCCTAGAACTCACTCTGTAGACCAGGCTGGCCTTGAACTCTCAGAGATCCTTCTGCCTCTGCCTCCCTGAGTGCTGGAATTAAAGGTGCGTGCCACCACCACCTGGCTTAGATTTCATTTTTTACAATTTATTTTTATTGGTAATTATGTATATACATGTGTGCCTGTGTGGGGTTATTTGCACGTAAGTCCAGTTGCCCAGGGAAGTCAGGAGCTGGAGTTATAAGTGGTTATGAGTTACTCAAGATAGGTGCTGAGATCCAAACTCAGGTCCTCTGCAAGAGCAGGGCACACTCGTCACTACTGAGCCATCACTCCAGCTCCCTTGACTCCATCTGGAAGTTTTGTGGACCTCAATGCCCCCTGTCTTCCGTGTCCTGACCCTGATTTAAGTATCCAATACCTGCTGTCTAAAAGGCAGACCCCTGCCTCACGGCCTTTAGTGCAGGAATGGCAGGTTGCCTGGGCAAGAGCCAAGAGTTGACTGACTGAACGTCCCTGGGGAAAAGCAGCATTAACACTCCTTAAAGAAATCCCAAGGCTGAGGAAGCCACAGCTACAGGAAGTCACGAGTGCCATGCTGTTGGGCAAAACAGAGCTGCTAGTCTGTAATCTGCAAACTAGGTGTTCCTTCTCGGCCACAAGTCTTTAAATTTTAGCGTCCGGGCATAGTGGGCCTCTCTGATTCAGCAGTAGCTACTCAGGAGGCTGAGGCAACAGGAGGGCTTGAGCCCATAAGCACAGGGAGAGCTCGACAACTCAAGGAGACCCACACCTGAGTGCTGGAATTACAGCCATCACAGCCAGTGCAGGGAAAGTATGCTTGCACCTACTTCTAAATGAACATTACCACGTCAGAGCTATTCTCAAAGGACCAAATGGATGGTATCACTCACTTCCCCAGTAAAACTGGATTCCAACAGCAAAGGAAACAGACTCAAGCAGACTGTCTCCTATGAGTAGCAGATATGGGAGACTTAAGCAGTAAGGTATGCAAGCCAACGGAGGAGGAAGAAGAAGAAGGAGGAGGAGGAGGAAGAGGAGGAGGAGGAGGAGGAGGAGGAGGAGGGATGTTTTTTCTTACAGAGGCTAAGCTCTGGGCAGAGCCTGAGTATTTGCTGAAAAGTCCTCCGTTGGTGTAGTTGTAAGACTGCCATGCTTTGTCCTTGGTGGAACTTAGGGACAAGGTCAAATTCTGTCTGCTGCTGGAACAACTTGAACCTGGCAAACAAACACACCCAAACCAAAAGCATCAGCAACTCCAACAATAACTTTCAGGAAAAAATTCAAGTTACATTATATCCATTCAGAAAGCACCTGATTTTTTTAAAAAACACATTTTATTCAAGCTCACAAGTTATGAAATGTGCAACGTTATTAAAATCTACATTTCTAATGTTCATATATTATAAATGCCAATGCCAGATTTATAACAGTAGAACCTTCAGCTAACTATTCAGGATGGTCTTGACTGGCTTGCGGTAATCAGTGTAAGAACACTGGTAACGGCCTCACAGCTGTCAGTTTACACGTAAGCAGTTCCCCTGAATTACAGCTTCTCCACAGATGCGTTTGGTTTTGTGCACTTCTGACCCCTTCCCCGGCTTGCACACTTGTCTGCAGAGTACACACCAGGCCTAGCTTCTCCCAGCATGGTAGGTCAGACCTCACGGTTTTAAATCCCAGTATACATATGCTAGGTGACCTTGGCAACTTCTTCATATGTTACTGTTTCAAATACATAAATGAGGAGAACATGGAACTGTAGTTGTCAGTCATAGGACTGCGATAAAAATTAAATAAAATTCTGAATATAGTGCTTGTCTGAGATCTAATAAAACCTCAGTAAATAACAGTGACTCCCTATGTGTGCTGATGAATAAATCACAAACCATAAAATACATGAAACAGAAAACACTAAGACATCTAGCCTGGTCAAGGAATTATAATAATAATTATTACTACTACTACATTCCTATCAATGCTGTGTGTGTATGGGCCCGTGTGCTACACTGGTCACGTGGAGGTCAGAGGATGACTTTTGAGGGTCCTTTTCTTTCTACCATGTGAGTCCTGAGGTTGAATCTCAGGCTCTAGGGTTTGCAATGGCTCCTTTACCTGCTGAGCCATCTCATTCAGTCCAGGGGATCATTTTTATTGCTACAATTCGGCGGTATGCAGTGTATCTCTTATAAAAAAGTATATTTCCTTTAAAGATCAGCAGAACTTTTGATAAGGAAATAGACAAATGTATGCAGAACAAGCTGGGCGTGGTGTTGCACACCTACGTAATTCTAGCACTTAGGTGGTGCAGCCATGAGGATCAAAAGTTCAAAGCCAGCCTCAGCACACAGTGCTGTGGAATAATCCTTTTGTTCACTATGAATATGCATTACTCTCATTAGTTAATAAAGAGATGACTGGCTGATAGCTAGGTAGGATTTTTCAGGGCAGAGAGAATGCTGGGAGGAAGGGCAGAGTCTGAGGAGTCAAGAGGAGACCCCATAAGACTCAGAGCAAGCAGGATGGGAAGTTCATAGATGAGGCAGAGTAGCCTCAGGGCAGCACATAGATTAATAGAGATGGTTAATGTAAGGTGTAAGAGCTAGCTAGTAATAAGCCTAAGCTATTGGCTGAGCATTTATAATAATATTCAGTCTCTGTGTGGGTATTTGGGGAACAGCTGATGGGACAGAAAAGTCCGACTACAACATAGTGAAGTCAAGGCCAGCTGGGGCTACATAAGACTGTTAAAAAAATCTCATAAATAAAATAAAAAAATCACAAACACCATAAAGATAACACAGAGAGAATTCAATCGATTACAGTGTATTTGTACAAATGTAATAATTACTATGTCTTACAAATGCCAGCACACTGTTGGCTCAGACTCAGAATCTCAGAATGATGCTGACTCTCATACCTTATCAAACACTTGGAAAGCAGACTGTGAGTGCAGCATCACGGTTTCAGTTTATTAAAACATAATTTTATATTATTAACATGTATATGCATCTATGTGTGGGTGTGTGCCCGTGAGTGAGTGCCAAATCCTTGGAAGCTGCCGGATGTGGGTGCTGACATGGCTGTCTGTCTCAACAGCTGTGCCATCTCTCCAGCCTCCGAAACTTTATTTCACTATAGAATCTATTGACACTTACTTGTTTTGTTTTTCAAGACAGGGTTTCTCTGTGTAACAACAGCTCTGGTTGTCCTAAGCTTACTCTGTAGACGAGGCTGGCCTTGAACTCACAGAGATCCACCTGCCTCTGCCACTGAGTGCTGGGACTAAAGGCGTGTGCCACCAATGCCCTGCCAACTCATCAAATTTTCAGTCAATATACTTGTATGCCAATGCACTTGTACAGACATATAACAAAGAACTGTCGGTCATGACTTCTGTGCAGCAGGACCCTAAGTGGCTCTGATGCACCTGTCTTTTCTCCTCCACACTTGCTAATTCTACAGACTGGTGCTCCAGCCCTGATACACAGTGTCTCATGATCCACAGATCTAACCTGGAAATTTCCACAAACCTTTGTCCGATGCTGCTCTTCTAGTGTGCTCAAGTATGAGGTTCTCTGGTTCCCATGGAAGTATTTTTCCTTTCTTTTTTCCACGTCTTCTTTTAAAGTGATGGGCAAAAAAAATCACAGAGATAGCACTCACAGCAGTTACCACAAACAACTTTTTAGCTACTGGTGAAAATTTGATCTGGAAAAAATTGGAAAAAAAAAAAGCTCATATTTTTTTTTTCACTAAAAGAACGAAAATTAACTGTAGCAGGATATTTGATCAACTATGAGCCCCCGAGACTGCATTATTTACTGGAAAGACCTGCCTTAAGTTTTGGTGTGGCTCAGCTCTAACGCACACCTTTAATCTAAGAGCTTTCTGTTTGACTAGTGTAAACAAGATTAAACAAAGTCAGCCATAGGTCAAGAGCAAGCAACCAGTTGAAAGGAAGTGAACATTGGATTATTAAAAAACCATAGTTAGAGGAGTCAGGAGGGCGGATAGAGAGACAAGCAGGAAATAGAAAGGAGGGACATACAGTTTGAGGGTTTTTTTGAGACTGTATAGGAGGAAAAAGAGGCTTCTGGGAGGAAGGTCAGCTGGGCGCTTTCTCTGCCTCTCTGAGCTTCCAGGTTTTCAACCCAGTATCTGGCTCCCGAGTCTTTATTGGTAAAATCGAACTCCTGCTATTTTACAAACAACTATTAGCCTTTGATCCCAGCACTTGGGAGGCAGAGGCAGGTGGATCTCTGGCCGCCTGAATCGTCTATAGGAACAACTACCAAGATTTTTAACTACAGAAATGAAATCAGACTTTAAAGCTGAGCTCATTTTTTAAAAACATGTCTGAAATTTTAAGCAAACAGAAGTTAACTTATTTTTAAATACTACAGGAATAAGTGATTTTATTCATAAATTAATTTAAAAATACTTTTAGGGGGTTGGGGATTTAGCTCAGTGGTAAGCGCTTGCCTAGCAAACATGAGGCTTCTGGGTTCGGTCCTCAGCGAAGAAGAAGAAGAAGAAGAAGAAGAAACAAAATAACAAAAAAAGACAAAAATAAATAAATAAGTAAAAAGGTAACTAAAAATATTTTTAGAACCCTACTATCTGGACAATCACACAACTTTTCTCCAACACCCTCTCCTGGTCTCCATGGACCAAGGAGACAGAATGCCCAGACAAATACACACAGGCAAAACAACCCCACACATAAAATCAAAGTATTTTTAAATTAGAATGAAAGACACTAACAACAGAATACAACCCACAGAGGGAGAGGAAAGATCTGGGAACCACACACCCATAGGATGACCACCACAGAGAAACCAGACCACAAGCATTAGCAAGGCTGTGGGAATGTGAAAACAGTGTGCCCGCTATGGAAGCCAGCCCGGCTGCTCCCCCAAGCGAAAAAATGAACGTGTGATTCAGAAATTCTGCTTCTGAAAAATAATTCTGGAAAGAACTGAGGTCAGGGTCTTCCCTCTTTTTCTTCCTTTGTGTCTGGGTGTCGGTGTGCACACAGTGGACAGGGGTACGTGCCAGCAGGGTCTACACAAGCTACTGTCCACCACTGAACCCAGAGCTCACCTGAGACACCTCCCTAGCCCCATTGTTTTCCATTATTTTTAATCAGGAGTCCCTCTATAGGCCAGGCTGTCCTTCAGTCCAGATCCTCCCGCCCGTGCCTCTGGAGTGCAGAGATTACAGCTGTGCAGCATCGTGACTGGTGAAAAGCAGAGTCTCCCAGAAATTATCGGGACATCACGATCATAGAAGCATTATTCAAGATGTCCAAAACGTGGAAACAACCCAAGTGATCACAGATAGATGGAAATGCAAGCAAAATTTTGTATATCCGTACAATGGAATATTAATTCCATATTAAAAGGAAACTCCAATAAGGGCTACAATGTGGATAAATCTTGAAGATATTACACTCAATAAAATATATGAGTCATAAAACAATGATGAATAACAGGATTAAAAGGCATATGTCCCCACAGCTGGGTAAGACAGGAAGACTTTTTAAAGTAATGCAGTACATATATATATATATATATTTTAATGAAACATTCACATATGAACTATGTATGATGAAATATGTATATGCATATACGCATGTACACAGAATAATTTTTAGAAGTAGGTATTAGCTACTTTAGTCTTTTGACTCTGCTGTGTGAAATCCTCAGGGGCTGGGACTGTGGCTCGGTGACTGTCGCCTGCTTAGCAAACTCTGGGTTCAGATCCCCAGTACCACAAAAAAAAAAAAAAAAAAAAAAAAAATCCTCAAGCAAAACAGGCATCACAACCAAATGACATGGAACAACATAAATGCACTATTCAAATTCTGTTCCCTTTGTTGTTTACCTGGGAGAGAGCATAGTACCAAGACACAGGGAGGTCAAACACTCTCAGGGCGGCCATCTTCAAGGAGAACTGTGATTCTCTGACTGTTCCCCCTGACATGGTTGCTCCGTCAGATCTTAATTTGGTGAAACGGAGTTAATCAGCCACAGGGGTTTCTGGTTGCTTCATCCATGAAAGAAGGAAAGTTAAATTCTTGCCAGGTGTGGTGGCTCATGCCCTTGATTCCACATCTTGGGAGGGAGAGGCAGCCGATCGCCGTGAATTTGAGGTTAGTGTGGTCTACATGGAGAATTCCAGGCCAGGCAGAGATGCAATAATAAGGCCCTGTCCCCAAAAGGAAAAATAGTTAAACTCTGGTAAAATTAGAGAACTGGCTCCTACAAGTTGTTCTCTGATGCCCACAAGAACACCTAATAAATAAATATAATAAAATACTTAAACCCCATCAGTTCTTTCTATTTTTTAACATCCACACATCCATGGTGTCAGTACTGTTTGTTGTTTGTGAGACAAGCTTCACTATGTACTTTGTTTTTGTTTTGTTTTTTTAAGATTCTATTTATTTATTATGTATACAGTTTTGTGCCTGCATGCCAGCAGAGGGCACCAGATCTCATTCAAGGTGGTTGTGAGCCACCATGTGGTTGCCGGGAATTGAACTCAGGACCTCTGGAATAGCAGTCAGTGGGCAGAACTGCTGAGCCATCTCTCCAGCCCCCTAAACTTTTTTTTTTTTTTAAGATTTATTTATTTTAATCTGCACTGGTGTTTTGCCTGTCCCCTGGAACTGGAGTTACAGACAATTGTGAGCTGCCATGTGGGTGCTGGATCCCCAAACCCCATCAGTTCTGTAGGTAGTTATGTGTGCATGATATTGCAATGCAGCTAAAACTGTATTTGTCAGTTACCAAAACAGCAAAGAACATACGCTGTGTTTATAGTCTTAACCAAAAGGCTAACAGTGAGGAAGATGGGGTAGCTTTAATCCCCAAATTCAAGTCACACATTTTCCCTAGAAAACAACAGGTTTTACCAGTGAGAATGAAAACAAAACAAAACAAAACAAAACCCAAAACCCACTGTACGCACACATATGCATGAAGATTCCATGGGTTAAAACCTTTACTTTGTATGTTAACCTAAAAAAGTTATGGGGAGAGGACAGGGACAAATGGGGAGACCTGTGTGTTCTAGAGCACAGGTTCTCATATTGTGGGGACCCCCAGCCATAAGATTATTTTCATTGCTACTTCACAACTGTAATTTTTCTACTTGTCACAGGGAACCCATGTAAACTCTGGTGGCCTGTGGTTCTGTCTCCAATTCAGAGACCAGGGATCTCCAGAGCAAGCTGGCTAGCAAGACTAGCTGTAGATGTTTCTGGGTCTGACTGAGAGGGTCGGACTCAGTGAAACACGGCGAAAAGTCAACCAAGGACGGTGACTCTCAGCATCCAACTCTGGCCTCACACTCACATCTGTGCCAACAAACTTCCACTGCCTCCCACGAATGTTGGGGGAAACAATGGTTTAGAGCGACCCTTTCTTTAATACAGTTGCTCCTGTGGGAGTCACCCCAAGCATACACTCAGCTGCATTGCTACTTCGTAACTGCAATTCTGCCACTGTTACCTATCATAATGTAAACATCTGTGTTTTCCCATGGTCTTGGGCCACCCCGAGAAAGGACTGTTCAACCCCACAAAGGGGTCACAATCCACATGCTAAGATCCATTGGTCAGGAGCCTGGGGTCTACAGAATTACCAGCTCACTGCTGTTATTGGTGCACTAGTCGCACACAGTAAATACATTTACAGAGTACAAACCAGCTGTCTGCTGTAATTAAGAAATGCTCTGTCTGGGACAAAGACATGTTCAGTAGTTAAGAGCACTGGCTATTCTTCCGGAGGACAGCGGCTGATTCTCAGCACTGACAGGGTGGCCCCGAACCATTTTCAACTCCAGTCCCAGGGAATCCCATGTCCTCTTCTGGACTCCATGGGCACTGCATGTACTTAGTGCAAGCAAAACATCCATCCCTTACAGGGATTGAAAAACAAAAAACAAAACCACTGTCTGGTCACTAAAAAGTGTGTCACTTGACAAACCCTTATTTTTGAATTCTAGATACCTCATTTCATTTTACCAAGAAAGTGTGAAGCACTAAGAAAGCTGAATCCAAACTCAATCATGCCTAACTGAAAAACTTCAAAAGTGGGCATGTCAGTTGCTTACAGAAGCGCGGCTAAAAAACATGAAAGCAGTTTCATGACTATTCAGATTTGTTAAAGAAATCTTAAAACACCACTAAAAACTTTACTTCATTCCATTCCAAACACTGGCTTGGAGTTTTCATTTTAAACATCCTAAAATCTGATTCCGCAGCTCCTACTCTATAGGCAAGAAGTAAATCTAAGCTACTGAGTCAATTTCACTTGAAGCCTGAAATATACACAACTGAAGTCTGAGACTCTCTCTGTCTCTGTCTCTGTCTTCCCCCCCCTCGGCCCCCACCACTGTCCTGCCTCCCCCTCCCCAATGCTGAGATTACTGCCAGCTGAGGACTCGTGCCCAGGATCTCCGCACCCCGGATCCCTGCGCCCCGGATCCCTGCACCCTGGATCTCTGCACCCCGGACCTGTGCACCCCGGATCCCTGCGCCCCGGATCCCTGCACCCTGGATCTCTGCACCCCGGACCTGTGCACCCCGGATCCCTGCGCCCCGGATCCCTGCACCCTGGATCTCTGCACCCCGGACCTGTGCACCCCGGATCCCTGCGCCCCGGATCCCTGCACCCTGGATCTCTGCACCCCGGACCTGTGCACCCCGGATCCCTGCGCCCCGGATCCCTGCACCCTGGATCTCTGCACCCCGGACCTGTGCACCCCGGATCCCTGCGCCCCGGATCCCTGCACCCCGGATCCCTGCACCCCAGGACCCCTGCACCCCGGATCTCTGCACCCCGGACCTGTGCACCCCGGATCCCCGCACCCCGAATCCCTGCACCCAGGATCTCTGCACCCCGGATCCCTGTACCCCGGATCCCTGAACCCAGGATCTCTGCACTCCGATCCCAACTCCCCTGGTTATCTGAGATGCTTTCAACGCAGGAAAAACGGCTACCAACAATAACCCAACAGATAACGAGAGCGGCCTGTGAGGTCTGCTTACAACAAGACAGTCTAGTGGTCACACCTGTGCCGCTGTCACTTGGGAGGCTGAGGCAGGAGGATTACCTCCAGCTGGAGCCCGGTGTTGTCTTCACACAGAGTTCCAGACCACTCTGGTGACTGAATAAAAACAGTCACAATAAAATAAGATGCCTGGGGCGTCTCCCGGTAGAGTCTTAGGTGCTCAGAGATTGTGGCCAGTGGCCAAGGCCTCAGGCGACATGGAGCACCCAGGCAGCTGCTCAAGGTCCCCGCACCCCGATCTCTGCACCCCGGGTCCCCGCATCCCGGATCCCCGCACCCTGGATCCCTGCACCAGGATCTCCGCACCCCGGATCCCTTCACCCCGGATCCCCGCACCCTGGATCCCTGCACCAGGATCTCCGCACCCCGGAGCCCTTCACCCCGGATCCCCGCACCTCGATCTCTGCACCCCGGATCCCTGCACCCCGGATCTCCGCACCCCGGATCCCTTCACCCCGGATCCCCGCACCCTGGATCCCTGCACCAGGATCTCCGCACCCCGGATCCCTGCACCCCGGATCCCCGCACCTCGATCTCTGCACCCCGGATCCCTGCACCCCGGATCTCTGCACCCCGGATCCCTGCACCCAGGATCTCTGCACCCCGGATCCCCGCACCCCGGGACCCCTGCACCCTGGATCTCTGCACCCCGGATCCCCGCACCCCGGGACCCCTGCACCCTGGATCTCTGCACCCCGGATCCCCGCACCCCGGACC